AGTTTTGGGGCAGGAGGAGGGGAGGGTTTGGGGTCAGTGCTGACCATTGGGGCAAATGGGAGAGATCTGGGACAAAGGGTCAAGGGCTGAGGTTCGGGAGAAGGGTTGGGTTTGGGGACGGGGGGCTCAGACAGGGGTGATGCCAAAACTGGCATGGTCAATATGAGTAGCAGCAGCAGGCCAACCAGCATTAGCAGATTTGGCATAGAAATAGGATCCGGAATCCTCGTCCTTGAGGTGGTTCATGGTCAGCGTCACCGAGCTCTGCCCGTTGTCCCTGGGGATCCTGAACCCGCCCTGGACTGATGGGGCGTACTCGGTGTAACCTCCATTGTTGTTGACACTCGCGACGTATTGCAGCCCCTGCCCAGGTCTCTTGCGCATCCAGCCCATCCCAAATTGTCCAAAATCGAACCCGGACCCTCGGAAGAGGTGGTGCAGGGACCCCCCGGGGCGCCTGAGGTCCCCCCCGCACTCCAGCAGGGTCACGGCCGCCCAGACCCCTGCGGGACAAAGGGGAGATGGGGATGAGGGAAAACCCCAGCCCTTGACCCAAATCCTGACTCTTGGCCCCAAATTGGGACCCTTGGACCTCCCCATCCTCCAGCTCCTCCTCCTGCTTGCCTTCCCAGGTGCGTCCCGTCCACCTCCAGATCTGGCTACGGCCAGTTTATTTTGGAATCTAGGATTGATTGGCATCTGACCCCATGACTCAGAATGCTGCACAATTGCTGTATTCAATCTATACTATATTACATTAATTCTATATCTCCTTAATACTATATTATATCTCATTAATAATATATTATGTCTCATTTGTGCTATATTACCACTCCACAAAAGAGATACTAAAAGAATTCAGTACAAAAGACTCTAAAATATCCTATAGAAAACCTGTGAGCAATTAAATTGAAAAAAAATAAGAACCAATCAGCAGAACCCAACTGGTAAATGCCTGGAGGGGAACGATCCCCCCGACACATTCCACATGTGCAGAAAAAGCAGGAGCATTGATGAGAGATGGGAATCGTTTCATCTTCATCTTCTCCCTGTGCTGCTCCAGGAAAAATAATGAGAGAGAGAGAGGCAGACAGAGACAGAGGGAGAGAGAGAGAGAGAGGGAGAGAGGGAGAGAGGGAGAGAGGGAGAGAGAGGAAGAGAGACAATGGTGTCTGACTCTGTGCAGGGAACGAGAATGGCACAGCCAGGCCCCGTGCCCATCTCCCCTTTGTCCTGCAGGGCTCTGGGCGGCCGTGACCCTGCTGGAGTGCGGGGGGAACCTCCAGCCCCCTGGGGGTTCCCTGCGCCTCCTCTGCCGAGGGTCCGGGTTCGATTTCAGGGGGTTTTTCCAAGCACTGGGTGAGCCAGAGACCCAGGCAGGGGCTGGAATTCGTCGCAAGTATCAGCAGCAGTGGGGGCAGCACCGACTACGCGCCGTCGGCCAAGGGCCGGGTCACGATCTCCAGGGAAAACGGGCAGAGTTTGGTGATGCTGACCATGAACAACCTCAAGGACGAGGATTCCGCCATTTATTTCTGTGCCAAACGTGGTACTAGTTGTTATGGTGGTGCTGCTGCTTAGAGTGACGATGGCCGTGGTGGATCCATCCCCATCTCTGGGTCCTCACCTGTCCCCAAACTGAGACTCTTCCTTTAAATTATCCCCCAAACCTCAGCCCTTGACCCTTTGTCCAAAATCTCCCCCATTTGCCCCAATGGTCAGCACTGACCCCAAACCCTCCCCTGCTCCTGCCCCAAAACTCAACCATTGTCCCCAAATCTTCACGCCTGGGCTCCAGTTCAGGCCTCCTCCAATCAGGGCCTGGGAGCTGGGGGAGATTTGGGTGAAATGGGAAAAACTGGGAGAAAGTCCAGAGTTGGGGCAAAGATGGTGGACATTCGGGGAGAAGGTCAAGAATGGGGTCAAGGGTTGGGATTTGGGGCAGGATTTGGGGATTTTGGGACATTTGGGGAGCCAGGGATGGGGGTTTGGGGCCACCACCAGCGTCGTCACCATGTCCAGAGCTCCCAGAGAGGATTCCAGCCCAGCCCCAAGGAGCAGCACCAGACACCGAGGCCGCTGAGGGAGAAGTGAAGCCCCAGGAGGGACAAAGGGAGGGAGGGAGGAGAAGACGCCGCGATTTTGGGGCTCCGCAGCCTCCCCCCACTTCCTCCCCGGCAGCTGCCAGGGCCCGGCCAGGGCAGGAAAGGAAACAGAAAGTTCCTGGTTTTGGTCATTGTGAACATCTGTGTTTGGCAGAGGGCAGCTCAGCCTCGGGGCTCTGCAGCAGAGCGCTGGCTGCACAAAAAGCTTTGTGAGCGAGGGGCCCTGGAGCGATCCCCGTTCCACACTGGAACGGAAGGGAAGGGCCAGACTGGGGCATAAAGGGGCATAATTGGGGGAAATTGGGAATTGGGGAAGTGACGGTGGAGTTTGGGGGAAATGGTCAAGCTTTTAGGAACACGGCTGGGATTTTCAGGAAGGATCTCTGGGATTGGAAATATTTGTTGACCATCATGGTCACTATCAGGATTGATGCCAAAACCAGCGTCAATAGCATTGCCAGCGTAACCATTGCAAAGTTTGACACAGAAACAAACGGCGGAATCCTCGTCCTTGAGGTTGTTCATGGTCAGCATCACCGAGCTCTGCCCGTTGTCCCTGGAGATCCTGAACTGTCTCTTGACTGATGGCGCGTATTTGGGAGTGGCGCCATCACTGGTGGCACTCGCCAAAAACTCCAAACACTGCCCGGGTCTCTGGCGCATCCAGCCCATCCCAAAATCCCCGAAACTGAACCCGGACCCTTAGCAGAGGAGGCGCAGGGCCCCCCCGGGGGGCTGGAGGTCCCCCCTACACTCCAGCAGGGTCACGGCCGCCTGGAGCCCTGCGGGACAAAGGGGAGATGGGGATGAGGAGCTGGATTGGTGAAGAGTGCCCAAGTTGGCATGCCATGCCAGAAAGAGTGGTGGTTGGCACGAGAGAGGAGGATGGTGAACTCTAAGGGCCCCAGTTTGGGGCCCAGAGTCAGGATTTGGGTCAAGGTTTCAGCTTTGGCCTCATCCCCATCTCCCCTTTGTCCCGAAGGGCTCCAGGCGGCCGTGACCCTTCTGGAGTGCGGGGGGGGCCTCCAGCCCCCCGGGGGGTCCGTGACGTTGCTGTGCCGAGGGTCCGGGTTCAATTTTGGGAATTTTGGAGCGTACTGGATCCACCAGAGACCCAGGCAGGGTTTGGAATACGTCACAGGGATCACCAACAATGGTGGCAGCACCAGCTACGTGCCATCGGTCAAGGGTCCGATTCAGGATCTCCAGGGACAACGGGCAGAGCTCAGTGACGCTGACCATGAACAACCTCAAGGACGACGATTCCGCCGTTTATTTCTGCGCCAAGTGTGCTACTAATAATTACTCTGAAAGTGCTGCTCATAATGACGATGCCCATGGTGTCCCCTCTCCCATCCCCGTGTCCCCCCTGTCCCGTTTCCCCAGACCCTTCCCCCAAACACCCAGCCCACACCCAGCCCTTGACCATTGATCCCAACCTTGCTCTGCCTCGGCCCCAATTCTCACCCGCCAACCCCAAACCACATCTCCTGACCCCAAATGTCCTCTTTGTGCCCCAAAACTTTGTATTAAAAAGGGCAATTTCAGACCAAGGGTCAAGATATGGGTAAACTTTCTGGCAAGAAGTGGAGAATTTGGGGAAGAACCACTCCAGGCTTTGGACAGAGTCAGGAATGGGCAAAAGGTTTTGGGTTTTGGGGAAGGGTCTTGGATTTGGGAGCCGGTCCGGGACACGGCCACGGGGTCCGGACCAAAACCATCCACACCAGCACCAGTACCCTAATTTTTATAAGCAGATTACCCGCAGAAATAGGATCCGGAATCCTCGTCCTTGAGGTTGTTCACGGTCAGCGTCACCGAGCTCTGCCCGTTGTCCCTGGAGATCCTGAACTGGGCCTTGACCGATGGCGCGTAGTAGGTGTTACCACCTGTGTTATCGATCCACGCGACCAATTCCAGCCCCTGCCCAGGTCTCTGGCGTATGCAGTGCATGCCAAAACTGCCAAAACTGAACCCGGACCCTCGGCAGAGGAGGCGCAGGGCCCCCCCAGGGGGCTGGAGGTCCCCTCTGCACTCCAGCAGGGTCACGGCCACCCGGAGCGCTGCGGGACAAAGGGGAGATGATGGAAATCAAAAGTCTGATTGGTCAAGGGCCTCTAACTGGGTGTGCCCAGCTGGACAAAGGGGTAGAATCCTCCTGGGGGGAGGATGATGAACTCCAAGGGTCCCAATTTGCGCCAAGAGTCAGGATTTGGGTCAAGGGTTGAGCTTTGGCCTCATCCCCATCTCCCCTTTGTCCCGCAGGGCTCCGGGTGGCCGTGACCCTGCTGCAGTGTTGGGGGGACCTCCAGCCCCCCGGGGAGTCCCTGCGCCTTCTCTGCCGAGGGTCCGGGTTCAGTTTTGGGAGTTCTGGAATGTACTGGATCTGCCAGAGACCCGGGCAGGGTTTGGAATACGTCGCAGGGATCTACAACCCTGGTGGCACCACCTACTACAATCCATCCGTCGAGGGTCGGTTCAGGATCTCCAGGGACAACGGGTCAGAGCTCGGTGACGCTGACCATGAACAACCTCATGGATGAGAATTCCGCCACCTATTTCTGTGCCAAGAGTGCTGGTGCTGGTTGGGCTGAAATTGCTCATCTTATTGACGATGGCCTTGCTGTCCCCATCCCCATCTCCGTGTCCCCACCCCCGGCCTAGTTCCCAGACCCTTCCCCCAAACCCCCAGCCCACACCCAGCCCTTGACCATTGATCCCAACCTTGCTCTGCCTCGGCCCCAATTCTCACCCGCTGACCCCAAACCACAACTCCTGACCCCAAATCTCCTCTTTGTGGCCCAAACTTTGCTCTGAAGGTCGAAGATTGAGGCCCAGGGTCCCGATTTGAGGACAAAGGTTGAGGATTCGTGTCAGCAGCTGTGGCTGGGAGCGCTAAATGGCATTTTGGGGCAGATTCGGGCGATTTCTGGTGCCAACATAGTTGGATTTGGGGCAGAACCAGTTTTGGGGTTTTGCCTCCATGGTTTGTGTAGTGGAACTGGGGGAGATCTGGGACAAAGGGTCAAGAATGCGGTGAAGGGCTGAGACCCAGGGGAAGGGTCTGGGGATTGGGGACAGGAGACTACACTTAGATGGGGGCTTGGATCCACCATGGGTGTCATCCAAATTAGCACCAGGACCCACATAACCAGCATAAGCACATTTGGCACAGAAATAGGATCCAGAATCCTCGTCCTTGAGGTTGTTCATGGTCAGCGTCACCGAGCTCTGCCCGTTGTCCCTAGAGATCGTGAACCAGCCCTGCACCGATGGCGCGTAGTAGGCGCTGCCACCAGTGTTGATCCCCGTGAGCCACTCCAGCCCCTGCCCGGGTCTCTGGCGGATCCAGTTCATGTCGTAGCTCCCGAAATTGAACCCGGACCCTCGGCAGATGAGGCGCAGGGATCCCCCGGGGGGCTGGAGGTCCCCTCCGCACTCCAGCAGGGTCACGGCCGCCTGCAGCCCTGCGGGACAAAGGGGAGATGGGGATGGGGCAAAAGCTGAACCCTTGACCCAAATTCTGATGATTGGCCCCAAAATCTGAACCCTGGGCCTTCTCATCCTTCTCCAAAGTGGGTCCCGACTCTTTTCCAACTGGCAAAACCCACTTTGAAGCCCTGGACCAATCAGGTTTCTCATCCCCATCTCCCCTTTGTCCTGCAGGGCTCCAGGCGGCCATGACCCTGCTGGAGTGCGGGGGGGACCTCCAGCCCCCTGGGGGGTCCCTGCGCCTCCTCTGCCAAGGGTTCGGGTTCTGTTTTGGGGGTTTTGGCATGCACTGGGTGCGCCACAGACCTGGGCAGGGGCTGGAATGGCTTGCAGGGATCAGCAGCAACGGTGCTTACACTGGCTACGCGCCATCGGCACAGGGCCGGTATTGAAGTGAAGGGAGAAACGATCATCCTAGTAATGCATTGAACTCCAATTTTATTGATCAATCAATCACCTTAAATAACAGTGCTAACGAACTCCATGAATATTCTGTAGTCCAGATTCATGATAGGCTAACAGAGAAACTTCTAACCACTCCTCTTGTTTTAGAATATCTACAATTGTTTATTAAAAACAGAACCCATGTTCCCAAAACTTCTACATCTGTTCTCAGGGTGCCAGGTTTTCCCAGAGACGGTGTTGTGCTTGTTATGGGAAGACTGTCTGAGAACTTCATTGTTTATAAAGAGAGTCTAATTGTTTATAGAAATCAGAAGGCTGAGAACTGCTTTAATTTTCCCTTATACTTTTCTCTCAATTGTATGTCTCATGGCCTTTTCATTAAGTCATTCTCCGACAGGTCGGTTCAGGATCTCCAGGGACAACGGGCAGAGCTCGGTGACGCTGACCATGAACTACTTCAAGGACGAGGATGCCGGATCCTATTTCTGTGCCAAGGGTGCTGGTGCTACTGCTGCTGATAATGATGCCTATGGTATTGGCCCCGCACCGATCGCTGTGTCACCACTAGCCCTCACCTGCCCCAGACCCTTCCCCAAATCCCAGCCTTGACCCATTCCTGTCCCCGTGCCCCAACCCTGCCCTGGCTCTGCCCCACAATCTCGACTCCTGGCCCCACACCTCAGCTCGGGGCTCACTCAGGGCCATTTTGGCTCCTGAGCTCTCCTTGCCCATTCTGACCCAGCCCTTCACTGATGGAAGGTTCCAGGTGACTCCACCCTTGGACCCATCTGCTTCTCTCAGCATGGAGCCCTTGGCTAGAGGTCAATTTCAACAATTTCATATCCTCTAACTTTCATGTGTTTTTGGGAAAAAAAAAAGGGTTTTTTCTCCAGAGCTCGCAGAGAGGATTCCAGCCCAGCCCCAAGGAGCAGCACCAGACACCGAGGCCGCTGAGGGAGAAGTGAAGCCCCAGGTGGGAGCGAGGAAGGGAGCGAGGGAGGAGAAGACGCCGCGATTTTGGGGCTCCGCAGCCTCCCCCCACTTCCTCCCCGGCAGCTGCCGGGGCCTGGCCGGGGCAGGAAAGGAAACAGAAGGTTCCTGGTTTTGATCATTGTGAACATCTGTGTTTGGCAGAGGGCAGCTCAGCCTCTGGGCACTGCGGCAGAACGCCGGCTGCACAAAAAGCTTTGTGTGCAAAGGGCCCCGGAGTGATCCCCATTCCGCACTGGGACGGAGGGGAAGGGCCAGACTGGGGAGAAATGGGCAAAATTGGGGGAAACTGGGAATTGGGGAAGTGATGGTGGAGTTTGGGGGAAAATATCTGAGATGTGAGAAAAAGATCCGGGATTTTGGGGAAGGATCAGAGAATTCTGAGCTATTTTGGAAGAGAGAGGAGAGGGCTTGGGACAACAACCACCATCAACACCATGAGCAGCAGCACCACCACCACAAGCACTGGTGTAATATTTGGCACAGAAATAAACGGCGGAGTCCTCATCCTTGAGGTTGTTCATGGTCAGCGCCACCGAGCTCTGCCCATTGTCCCTGGAGATCATGAACCGGCCCTAGACTGATTGTGTGTAGGTGGTGTAACCACCATTACCGTAGATCCCCGCGACCAAATCCAGCGCATTCCCGGGTCTCTGACACATCCAGAACATTCCATAACTCCTGAAATCGAACCCGGACCTTCGACAGGGGAGGCGCAGGGACCCCCCGGGGGGCTGGAGGTCTCCCCCGCACTCCAGCAGGGTCACGGCCGCCTGGAGCCCTGCGGGACAAACGGATGGCAAACCTTATTGTTCAAGGGCCTCAAAGCAGGTGTGGCCAGCTGGAAAAAGGGATTGGACCCAGCTGGGAGGAGGATGAGAAACTCCAAGGGTCCCAATTTGGGGCCCAGAGTCAGGATTGGGGTCAAGGGTTGAGCTTTGTCCTTATCCCCATCTCCCCTTTGTCCCACAGGGCTCCGGGCAGCTGTGACCCTGCTGGAGTGCGGGGCGGGAACTCCAGCCCCCCAGGGGCTCGCTGACGTTGCTGTGCCAAGGGTCCGGGTTCAATGTCGGCAGTGTTTGGATGGGCTGGGTGCGCCAGAGATCCGGGCAGGGGCTGGAAATATTTGCACGCCTTGACAGTGTTGGATACACCTGGTACCCATCCGAGGTCAAGGGCCGGTTCAGCATCACCAGGGACAATGGGCAGAGCTCGGTGAAGCTGACCATGAACAACATCAAGGACGAGGATTCAGCCGTCTATTTCTGTGCCAAATGCGATTATATAAATTGGGATGCTGCTGCTGATAGTTTTGGCCCCCGACCCCATTTCCCAGACCCTTCCTCAAACCCCAGCCCCTGACCCCATTCCAGTCCCCTTTCCCAGCTCTGTACTGGTTCTGCCCCAATCTCAGCTCCTGGCCCCAATCTCAGCTCTGGGCTCCAAGGCTCAACCAAGGTCCCCAAACCTGGGTGCAAATGATTGAGATTTAGGGAAAATGGGCCAGATGGGGTCCGTGGCTATAACACAGTTCCTCCACTGAAATTTTGGGGCAGAATGGGTCCAGTTGGGCAAAAATGGTTGGGATTTGTGGGACGAGAGTGAGCTCAGGGTGAAATCGGCCCTGATTTGGGGCCAGGAGCTGAGATTTGGAGTCAGAGCAGAATAGGCTTGGGACAAAGGGTCAGGAGTGGGATCAGGGGTTGGAGGGAAGGGTCTGGCGAACGGGGACAGGTGGGGACAAAGACATGGGAACAGGACCAACACCAGCCCTGTCACCATAAGCAGCAGCAGAAGTAGCAGTATTAAAAGATTTCACACAGAAATAGGATCCGGAATCCTCGTCCTTGAGGTTGTTCATGGTCAGCGTCACTGAGCTCTGCCCGTTGTCCCTGGAGATCGTGAACCAAACCTTGACAGAATCCGCGTAGTAGGCGCTGCCGCCATTTCTGATCCTTGCCACCGATTCCAGCCCCTTCTCAGGAATCTGTCGAACCCAGCCCATCCCAAAGCTGCCAAAATCGAACCCAGACCCTTGTCAGAGGAGGTGCAGAGACCCCCCGGGGGGCCGGAGGTCCCCCCCGCACTCCAGCAGGGTCACGGCCGCCCGGAGCCCAGCGGGACAAAAGGGAGATGGGGATGGGAAACCTGATTGGTAAAGAGTTCCCAACTTTGCATGGCATGCTTCAAAAATGGGACAGGACCCACCTGGCAGGAGGATGATGAACTCCAAAGGTCCCAATTTGGGCCAAGGGTCCGGATTTGGGTCAAGGGTTGAGCTTTGGCCTCATCCCCATCTGCCCTTTGTCCCGCAGGGCTCCGGGCGGCCGTGACCCTGCTGGAGTTCAGGGGGGACCTCCAGCCCCTCGGGGGTTCCCTGCGCCTCCTCTGCTGAGGGTCCGGGTTCGACTTTGGGAAATTCAGGCTCGGCTGGGTTCGCCAGAGACCCGGGCAGGGGCTGGAGTGGGTCACAGCGATAGACAGTGATGGATACAACTGGTACCCACCCGCGTTCAAAGGCCGGGTCATGATCTCCAGGGAAAACGGGCAGAGCTTGGTGACGCTGACCATGAACAACCACAAGGACGAGGATTCCGGATCCTATTTCTGTGCCAAATGTGCTTATGGTGGTTGGATTGATGGTCCTGCTTCTGTTGAATGTTTAGATGGCATTGCCTGCCCCCTGTCCCCACCTGTCCCCATTCCCCAGAGCCTTCCCCCAGACCCCAACCCCTCACCCCATTCCTGACCTGTCACAGAGATTTTTTCATAAAATTCTTTCTTTTAGGTTTTTTCTTTTTTAGGAAGCTGGGGCCCCAGAAGAAAAATGTAAACAATATATAATGCTGGTGTGGAATGTAACAGGAGCATCTGTGATTGGTCTTCTGTGAGTGTTTCGATTTGCTTACCACTCAGGGGAGAGTTTGTCGTTGCTTTCTGCTGGACACAGAACTTTGTTATTTTCTTCTTTCCTATGCTATTCTTACCTTAGCAGCTTCTGCAACTTCTCTCTTTATTCCTTTTAATATAGTTATAATGTATTATATATCATATAATGTATTATATATCATATATCAATAAATCCAGCCTTCCAATCATGAACCAAGATTCTCGTCCACTTCTCTCACCCTGAAGACCTTCATCAGGTCGCTGTAATAGCTGACCGTGAACAACCTCAAGGACGACGATTCCGGATCCTATTTCTATGCCAAATGAGCTACTAGTAGCTTTGGTGGTGGTGTTGCTGCCTTTAGTGACAATTCCAGCAGTGGTCCCACCCCCCCTGGTGGTCACCAAATGTCTGCAATCCCCACAGATCCTTCCCCAAATCACAGATCTTCTCCTCAAATCTTTACCATTTTTCCCCATAGTCTGCACCAGCTGCACCAACTGTTGACTTTCCCCCAGTTATGGGCGTTTCAGCCAAATCTTCCCCATCTCCCTGGGTCCTCATTGGCTGAGCTGGCACAGGCAGAAATGGGAACTCTTGAAGAGAAAGGCCTGAACAGGAGCCCAGGGATGAAGGTTCGGGGCCAATGGTTGAGTTTTGGGGCAGGAGCAGGTGAGGGTTTGGG